ATTTATCTTTATCTCCCCGTACACCGTTGGGGTTAAATTGGCACTTATTCCATAATATTTTACTAAGCTCTCCCAACAATGGTTACAATACTTGGGAGGCGGGGATGGAGTACAAACCTAAGAAGAGCTGGGGGTTATGGAGCACCTGCGGAACAAGTTTGTGCGTCTAGGATGTTTGAGGTATCTATTGGGGATGATCATAATTGGAGCAAGTGGGTTCAAGCCAAAATTTTACTCTGGGAAAATGATCCTGGTAATCAAGTTGAATATGCCCTTGTTGGTAATGATGTTACGGATAAATTAGCATATGTTCATGAACCAGGGAATTCGTTAAAGTTTTTAGATATTGGAGATGAGACCAAACTCACTACATTTTTGAATACCTGTCATTAACCTTTAGTTAACGGAAGCCAAATTGATATTGCAACTTCGATAAGAATTTCATACATTATTAGATATAAAAAATATGTCTAACAACCGATTGCTTATATAATCCCAATTCTTTGAGTTTTCCGATATGTAGCCGTTATAATACCACATCTCAATTAAATAGATCCCATGCCTGTTGTTTGATAAAAATTATTGGGTCCTATGATATTCTTCCTATATTTTGAGAAAAAATTTTACTTAATTAATAAGCTAGTTGTTCCTATTCATCTATTTTTAATGGTGTGTCCCATTCCAATCTAATTGTGAGAGAATCATCCACTGGCTTAGTAAAATCAAAGACCACAAAATCCTGCTCCCGCAAATGCTTATCAATAATCTTGGATGCTCTTTTAGGATTATCTGTGTATTGGCGTATGATTCTGCATATATTATCTCTAGATCCAGAGCCTCGGAATAAAGCTAAATATGATATATTTTCATGAATTATTTTAGGTGTTTGGTATATTTCTGACTTACATAAATAGGTGAAATATTTTGATGTCGATCACTAATAAAGTATAGAATGATCTGATCCTGAATTTTCTTTGATTCAGCACATAAATCCTCAAAAACAACAACCATGCTTCGTTTTGGAGAGAATTTAGTAATATCTGGAATCTTATCTTGAGATATCCTTTTAAATGTGACATCTTCTTGATATGGTTTAGGGCATTCACAAAGATCTGAAAGCTATTTTGTACAAGTTGCCATTTTGGCTCAAAATGTTTACCTATCAATACAAGGTCATCATTTTTGATATAACGATTTTCTTTCTTATCTTTAAACATTTGTTGTAATTTGTTACCTAGCATAAGATTAATCACCATATTTGTTTTTCCACTATTGGAGCCTCCACATACCAGTAATCTAAATGAGGTCAGGTGAATACTTATTACCTTTTATTCATTCTGAAGATTTGTGATATCTTATTGATATTGTATACAAATATGGGCATTTTTTCTTCTTTCATTCCGAATAAATTAAAAATACTAATCTATTATATTGAAAAAATATTAATCGAACCAGATAAGCATTTAAAGTTTTGCTTCTATTCTATAAGACCCAATTCACAAAGAATATCTGGAATAACTTTATATAGATTTTCATAATACCAAACTTCTCTTAAAACAATCCAGTTTTCTTCACAAAGATCTTTTTTAATTTGATCATGCTTCTGTTGTTTGATTAAGTTTTTTGGGCTTTCTTTATGAAAGAATTATTGTAATATTCGTGTTGTTCTCCTTGAACTTCTATAGCTAAGCCATATTGAGAATAATAAATATCTATTTCTAATCCTCGTGGAAATTTAAGTGTTTTTAAGAAATTAGGTCAATGTATTTTAGATGGGGGTCCAAGATATTTTGACACAATTTCTCGACATAAATTTTCACATCTATTTTTTATACAGCGTAAGCACCAAGTTTCTCTTTGAATACTATCAATTCGAGCAAATCATGAATGTTTTTCAGAACAGCTCCAAGACAATGATATATGCCTATTATGGTAAGAACTAGAAAGACATGTTTCACCCCTTTTACAAGCAAGATTTTGAGCATAGTCAAGTCTAAATTTTATGCATTCACAACATCAATTTCCTTTATTTTTAATATTCCCAAGAGATAAGTGAAACTGATGATTATTTTTACATTCCTATAAGAGAGGAGAGCTATTATTAACATATTTTTCTAAAATGTATCTTCCATTTTTTGCATGTGCTAGATTCTGAGCAACCGAAATATTAAGTTTCTTACTTAAGCAATTAGGGCACCATAAATGACGATTTTTGATAGAATAAAATGAAGAAGACCATTAATGATTTTTATTGTATTTCCAAAGTATAGAAGAATAGTTATTAATATACTCTTCAGATATACACTACCCTCCACAGGACTTTGCTATCTGTATTGCAATACTTAATGATAATTCTATAGACATTGAGAATTGAATAAGTTTTAAATAACTATTCTATTCTTCAAAATATAGAATCAAGTTTTTTTATTTTCATATCAATCAAGCTAAATCACTAATTATTATATTGAAAAATAATGATCTTATGAGTTTATTCTTTGTGTGTTAAATAATCTTTCTTTTGCAATTTGCTTTTTATATATGATAATTTTTTTTTTTGGTATTAAGGTAAGGCCTTGCTCATATCTTTATTAATAGTTTTTATCATAGTAACTACAAGAAGTTGTTAACCTCAATATATAAAATATAAAAAGTAAAAACTACATGCAAGAATAAAAGCTTGGACTACTTTATTCATGATCTAAACCTACTAGAGTGGTCAAAAACTCACCTAAATTTTTTTAAGAAAAAATAAATATAGGTAAATAGAGTATTTAATTGAATGAATTTAAAAGTAAAGCTAAATAATAAGATTTGTGTATTTAATAGTATAAAGTTATAAAATATAATAAAAAATACTAGACTATATTTAGTATATAAGGTTATAAAATATATAAAAGATAATAGAATATATAAGGATATATAGTTAAAGTGTTAAAATATAAAGTATAAAGTAAGTTTTAAATTAAAAAGAGGCTTTTATTAATGTTAGAGATTTTAAATTTCATAGTAGATTTATTAGAACAATGTTGTTGTTTATTAAATTTAGAAGTTTTAGATTTTGTAGTAGAACTGATCGATTGTTATTGTTGTTGTTGTAATTGTTGTTGTTTTGTTGTTGTTGTTGTTGTTGTTGAGTATTAGAATTTGTAGCTATAAAATCTGTATATAATATGTTAGAGATAGAGATCTTGAACTTTTTGATTATATATTGGTTTGCTTGGTCAAGATATAATTTCTTAAGATTTCTTTTAAAGTTTGCAATAGTTGGTTTAGAAATTTGAGTAATATCATTTTTATATATAATAATAAATCAACAGAGTAAGAGATTTCAATAAGATCTATACCTTTCTCTTTGCATATATTCTGCTTTTTTTTAGTTACATGTCTATTGACTATCTAAGTCTATCTTGCCTCGCTTATGAAACATTAGATTCTCAGAAAAATGTTGAGGCCCTTAGAATTTGTATGCCAATTTTAATTCTTCATTATATCTATCTAATTGCATTCTATTCAAAAATGATAGTTTATAAGATGAAAATTTCTTATCTAACAAATCCTCAAAAATATATCTACATCTTCGCTCATCAGTATAATGAAAGCAAATTAGACACTATTTGAATTTCTGCTTCAGAACTTCTAATGGATACTCAAACTGATAGAATTTATTTTTACATAACCAAAAATAAATATTCGGATCATTTATTCATTCAGATTTTCCTAGACACTCACTACTATGCTTTCTGGTATATTGTTAAGCTTTATCAAATTTATTATTAGAAATACGAATAAAGTGAACTAATTTAGTATGTTGATTTTCTGATAATATACTTTGGAGAGGAAGTTAAAGTGTATTAATATTCATATATAAAAGCTTTTCTCTCACAAATGCTCTAGAAAAAGCATGTTTACTACCCAAATAATATAAAACTGGCTTATTTTTTGATATTACTATTTTTATAATAGGTAAATAGAAGGACTGAAAATAGAATCAGTGACCCTTTTCATATCTTTTAGACTGCTTTTCCATTCTGTATTAGCAAGAAGATAGCAAACCATATCACTTTTCTTTAATTTTTCTTCGTCTTTTTCTATAGCATATTTTCATGATATTGATAGTTTAAATTTGAATTTTTCTAGCTTAATAGCCTCTGAAGGAGCTAATCTTCACTTTGAAGAATCTGGAGCCTAAATAAGATGTGTTAGATAATTATTTAGGTAATTAATAACTTTTGGTAAATACTTGACTCATGTTTTTATCAATTTAGGGTTTAAAGATATTGATTTGACAGTATATTATACTTTATAAAGCATCTTTGCAAGGGTTTTACAAAATCAATTTATAATTGTGGGCTCTCAATAGCTATATGCTTCAATTACTCAAATTATTACTCCATGTTCTTGTATTATTTGGGTTGTTTTAGCTATATACTCATAATAACTATCAATAGTTAATAATTTAGACCAAATTATTAGATTCAATAAATTATAAATTTTCTTGAATGCTTTAGCAACTTCTGAGCTTTTTTTTGATATGAGAGAAACTGAAGCCTTATATCTTGATACATAATCTACTATATTAATACCACTTTGTATATCTTTCTTTTGTATTTATTATGTGTAAGAAATAATATATTGGCTTGATATACACAATTTGGATATATTATTTGTCTGTAGCTGGCTCTAGTGATATGTTTTGAAGAAGTTTTATAAATTTGGTACTGTTGTTGATGCTCTAACTACTTATGACTTTTTTATATGAGAAATTATAACTCTCATTCTTGATAACTTTATAACTTTTGAATATTAGAATAGTAGCTAGTAGAATTGTAATAAATTAACTAACAGATGAGATCTAATTCTTTATCAATACTGATTATAATACTAGATTGGTTCATTTTTGATATATTTTACTATATTAATAAATTATTATTTAGTAAAGTTTCTAGAAGTGTTAATATATTATAGGCTCATACAATGGCATCAAATACGGTAGTATTTTCATCTAGTGAAACAATCAAAAAATTTGAAGCTAGTTTGCAGATAATAAAAAATTGATTCTGTAAATTACAATAAGATCTAGACTTAAAAAAGAATTATATTAATTATCTTGAAAAAAAATCTTAATTCATGATGAGGAACTAGACCTATTGCAATTAAAAATTTCTAATCTTATAAAACAGTTAGCTAATATATTTAAAAAATCTGAAAAGTAAAAAAATTATATAGATTATTTAGAAAAGCAGTTAGCATTTTTTAGAATAAAATTGACAAATTTAATAAAAAAATTCTTGTATTGTATAGCGAAGCTAGTAACAAGATTCTAATGTTACTTTAAATATAATACAATAACCAGAATTACCTAGATTATCTCTATTTAAAAATCAAGCTATGATTCAAAATAATAGGATTCAGCGAGAGATTAATAATATTAAACAATATTTTCAAAGCCCAATTACAATAGCAACTACAATAAATAGGATTATAGACTATTTTAATATAATTTCAGATGCTGGCTATAGGTTTGAAAGATTAGTACTAGAAATATATCTATGAGCAAATATATATGCAATTAATGTAAAAAATCAAGTAGCTGATTTGCAAACCCAGTTAGCTAATTCACAAACCTAGTTAGCTGATTTATAAACCCAGTTTGCTAATTCACAAACCCAATTAGCTATGCTTCAAAATAACTACGATCTTTTTATCAAGCTTATAGAGCCCACAAACTTAACTATCACTTATTTAAAGCAACTTGTATAGAAAAAAAGAAGCGTATATTAGAGTTACTTCAAGAAAAATTTGTATCATGCCTCTTAAATAAACAATTTTAGATTCAAGCTCAACAGAAAGGTTAGCAACTATAAGAATATAAAACAGATAGAGCAATTACTACACATCTTTTAAATCTTATAACAAATCAATACATTAAATAGAAAAATAAATGCAAAACTATAGAAAATAAGTAGGGTAAGTAGAAAAATCATACTTGAAATTTTGAACAATTAATAAATAATTTATAAGTGCAAATTTTATTATTATATAATAATCTACTAAATATAGCTACAGTTGCAGAAGACTTAACTAGTATTGCACTATTAATTGCAAAGATTCCAAATTATAGTAAACAAATTTTACTAGATAAATAGTATCAAAAAATTAATCAAATATTAACTTTACTATCAATTATGGTGCCTGGCTTCAATGATGCACTCCAAACAGATATTTTAAAAAATAAGATAGCTAGAAAATATACAAATATATTCACTCAACATGCTAGTAATAATATTGATATCCTAGTCTATTTTATTGTTTGTTTGTATCATAAATATCAAACAGAAACAGTTGATATACAACAAGTTGCTACTCAAAGATTAGCTTAAGAAAAATTCTTACTATTTGATAATCCAGAAATATATGAAACTAGAATTTGTCCTCTTTTATTAGGAGTTGGCGATAATAATACTAATATCTTAAAGGTTATTTATCAAGAGAGCTTTATACTTGAATAAAAATTGCTAATCCTGCTAACATTAATATATTTTTTACAGAACTTAAAAATATATAGTTAGAATATCCTCTGAATTTATATAAAGGCTCTATTCTTGACCAAATCTCTTAAGCTCTAACTATTACATTCCAATCAGCAACTATATTAACAAAAACAAATACAGAACTATATTTAGACAATAGTAGTATAACAAAAACTGAAATAGAAAACATAGTAACTCACAATTAGATTTAAAAAGCCAACAGCCTACCTTACAACCTGTTTTTTTACAATTTTGATCACAACCTGCAGAAATATCCCAAAAAATTCTTAAAGCAAATACTAATAGGTTCTTACTATAGCTTTATAGTGAAATTTCAGAATTTGTCTTCATACAGACCTCTTTTCTACCTCCAAAACTATAGATAAAAAAGAATATTATCTCAAATAGTGATAATATTGATGAAATTACTAAAGATATAGCAGACATGTTATTGA